GTTTTGTCACAAACCTTTAATCTCAGTTTCCCGCCTTAGGCTCAGGTAGTCGTATAAGTCAGGCGTTAGAATATTCCTGTTTTTTTACTTTGTGTGTTTTTGTGTTTACATCGAGGAACGTGTTTTGCTTTCTGCTCTGAGGTTTGTGGGTTTTCCTGCTAAACTCTTTCTTCTTTCAGCAGTAATGTGAACAAACAGGTTTTCAGACACATTTCGAGTCGTTCTGGGTTTTTATGTGGAGTTGTGGAAAACTTTAGTGTCACTTGGAACAGATTTTGTCACGCTGAACAACTGCTGAGTGATTTTTGACACAATATGAGCAACTTAGGACAATTTCCACGTCGTTCTGAGCGTCCAGGGTCCAAAGCTTTAGAGCGTTTTCAGTAACAGGCCTCCAGAGTCCATGAAGGATGTTGAAGCTCCCCGTCCATGTTGGTCCATGCTGGAGAACATCTGAGGCTGGTTTTGCCTTAAAGAACGTTTTCATACGTACGTGATGATCAGAAAGTGCTGCAGCGAGACAACGGCAGCAGAACCGAGTGTCTTCGCCCCATTGCAGACGCTGAACCTTAAAACCATCATGTTGTTTACAGAATCCTGTTTTATTTGTGACTTGTGAACCGAAGCAGGAAACAGGTGACGTATCGGCGCCACAGCGTCTCCGTCTGGTGGATGCAGGTGAACGTCTTTACCTTTCAGGGTGAGCTGGGACTTCTCGGTGGTCTGGACGCTGCCAGGTCGGCTCACGCTGGCAGCTGCCATCACATCACAGCTCTGCAACACAACCACAGACGCACAACGTTACAGCAGACCTGACCACACATGAGTCTGGAAACAGCTGGTCCAGTGTTCAGCTGCACAAAGCTGTCCTGAAATCTGAAATAAAAAATGTAATTAGATTACTTTAATCGAGTCTTTTACTCTCAAATCATCCGAACATTTTCTGCTCGACCATCTCTGGTTGGCCTCATAGCATAAAACACGGATGTTTATGGAGACATCTGCACAAACTTAGCTTCATACATCAAATAGTTTAACGAACTACAGTTTTCCGTCGACCATCTTTCAGCAGGTTTGTTTTCCTCACAGTGAAGTTTGAGTCAGCAGCTAATGAGGCCAAACAACTAATTAATATTTAATCGAAATCAGGATTTGAAACAACGCAATCAGCAAATAGGAAAGGCTGCAGCTTAGGAGATAATTACCGTAATGTCTGGACTATAAGCTGCTACTGTTTTCAATTTATGGATTTCTACGAGTTTTACGAATTTTCCTCAAGACCAAAGTGTCGCTGAGAGCGACGACGACAGAGAGACTGAGGAAGTGATTCTGAGGCTGTTCAGCTCCTGGAGACGTGTGTTATTATCATATTTCTAAGGAAAATATTCAGTTTTTTGCGTTCGGCGTGTGGGTTTTTCTCTCAAACTCTCTGCTTCTTTCTGCATTAATTCAGGCTTTTGGACACATTTTGAGTCATTTGGGATTTTTATGTGGAATTTAAAAAAAAAGATTTTGTCACGCTGAACAACTGTTGAGTGATTTTTGACATAATATGAACAATTTGGGACAATTTTCATGTCATTCTGAGCGTCCAGTCTAAAGAGAGTAAAACCTGCTTTGGGTCGACATCAATCTGTTCTGCAGCAGAAACATTTCCACACGACTCATTTCTTTTATTCTTTGTTGTGTTTCTCGTTTATTTTTGTGCAACAAAAGTCTTTGTCTTTCAATAAAGTTTTTAAAAATCCTCCAACAACCTTTAAATCGCAGTGAATGACTCTTTCCTGTAGGTTAGCTGTAGAAAACGAGACCTGCCGTTGAGCTCGTTACAGCTTGTTACAGCTCGTTACAGCTCGTTACAGCTCGTTACAGCTCGTTACAGCGGTGCATTCATAACCAGAGCTGCAGCAGCACATGAACCTCCTGAGCAGACGGATTTAACGCTGCCACAGAAATGCACATTTCACAGAGAACGTCTGCTGTGTCTTTGCTCCCTGACTTCAGTCTTTAAGGCTGCAGAGAGACGCTGCCTTCAGGACAAACTCGGGGAACTAATGTCTCTCCAGCCGTCACACACACAAACACACTTGATCATGAAATCTAACGCAGCCTGAGCAAACAGCCATAAAGGTGAACCACGTTATTACTGAGGTCAGAGTACCTGGTTAATGGTCACTGTGCTGCGTTACACCTGAAGCCTTCCTCACATTTAGTCCACCCCGACCGCAGTCACAATCATAAAGAACAACCACATATGAAAACGTAGAGGCTCTGCTGCTGCGTCACACTCCACAGGTGTGTTTGATAAAACATGAAGCTGACTTTGGAATAACGTCTAGACGAGGATGAGGATGATTAAAGTGTTCAGATCCAGAAGAGCAGCTCGACAGCAAAATAAAAAATATTCAAATGGATGTGATGAAAATGATTTTTGTTTCTGGGCTCTACTGTGTGAGGAACTCATCCAGAGGCAGCGTTTAGTTGTCTGATCGGCTCTTCACGTCTTTCCATCGATTACATTAAAACACTCCTTTAAAGAAAACTACGCATATGACAAGAATGTTTATTTCTGTACATATATCAGGTATATTCTGTTCCATATGTTTATATCGAGGCGTTTATACACATGCAGGCCAGTTTTTAGCTCACTGGACTTTCTACATTTTGCACATCCACAGAGACCGAGGCCCAGATTCAAACCCAGGACATGTTCTGCACATCATAGTCGTGACTCGATGACCCGACACTAAATGTAAAACCTTCTTCTATGTCAGATATCAAGGCTGTCGGATTGTCCAGACGGAGGTCCAGATACGAGGAGGGCTTGATGCTGGAAGGATCATTAGTTGTTCATTATTGTTCATAGTTGTTATAATAACTAGTAGGGCTCGCTGCGTGTGACGTCGTCGTGTCCTCTTCTGCGCATGCGGGACACTTTTGGGTCGTATGAAGTTCACACAGCAGATCACATACAAGTCGCATTGAAGTGGAAACGTGAAGGAAGTCACAAAGAAATCCTCATTGAGCATCAAGTCCTGCAGTGTGAACGTAGCCAATCTGTGGGATTGTTCAGTCAGATAATACGCCGTCATCCTGATTGGTGACATTAAATGTCATGTCGGAGTCACAATCCAAGGCTGTCGCTATGTTAAGGCTGTTTTTATGGGTTCTGTTGGGTTGTCCTAAAAACCTGTCAGATAGCAGGTTCTGGATTGTTAAGGGTCGATTATCGGGTCACGGCTGTATTAAATATATTCGTACTGGGGCGCCGCCATAGGTGGGACCCAGCACCTCGTTGACCCGTGAACAGGGCTGTAGTTAAAGTCGTGGGTTCGACTCCCGCTCATGACCATCGCTGCTGGTCTCTCCCCAGTTTCCTGCCTCCTTCTCTCACTATCCTGACCAGTAAAGGGAAAAAGGACAAGAAATAATTTACAACATATGTGTGTTACTGCCCTCTGAGTCCTCAGCATGTTTCAGAGTCTGGCTTCTGTGAACTTTGTTTTCAGCATCAATGTGGGTTCTGGACTGTGATAGAAGCTGCTCAGGATCAATACAGCATCTATCACAGACATAGTATATATAGATATAGATATAGATAGATAATACATAGTAAAGGTGTATTCCATAGCATTCTCTCCAGTACTGTGCCGTCCTACTGCAAAATAAAAACATTTAATCATGAGAAAATTAGTGCTGAATCAGCTCACGTGAACTTTTCATTCAGCAGTAGGGCTTCATGACACGAGGCTATGAGACACACCTGTCATGTGTAGACGTGTTGTACGGTGTGTTCTGATGTCACTGGATCCACTAAAGCTGATCGATATCAACATAAACACCACTCAGATTACTGAGACTGGTGTAAGAACGAGACTCCAGACATCATTTCTGTGTTTCTATAAAACCAGTAAATGACGATGTGTGTGTTTGGCTGCAGTCTGCACCAATCACACACATCCAGGTGTGTTCCAGGTGTGTTCGCCGCCCGGTCCGGTGAAAGGCACCGGCAGCACGGACCGGTTCCCCCAAGAGAAGCAGCAAAAGCCAAGAAACAACATCACCTTGAGCAAAGTCAGAGATGATGGAAGCTGCAGGATTTAAGGCTCAAAGCACAACCAGCTGAGCTGCAACCTGCTGCTGACGATGATGAAGATGATGATGATGGTGGAGAGGACATCCTGCCTCTGAAGCTGCTGCAGCACCAAGGTGACTGCAGCCGGACGCTCATGTCACCTGCCCACGGTCACAGCCAACAATCAGCTGTTTTACTCTGTGAACGAGCAGCTGAGGTCCGCAGACGAACAGCTGAGCGCATCACAACAACAGCGTCCCTCCTCGACCTGCGCACAGCTCCGTCACTCTGCGTCTGCGCAGCTTAAAGACCGCACAAACCAACGGGAGGCAGGATTTACCCCCGTGGACGCTGGTTTTACTGCCCCGGGGGTAAATACCCTTGGCTGCTGCGCACAAAACACAAACACGGAAGATGATCAAGGTGTTTCTGCAGCGCCGTCAAGAGCGGCGGAGAAAGCGGGGTCACATCCGGTCACACTTTCAAAATAAAACCAAACACGCAGCCGTGACTCACTAACTACACACAACAAAAACCACAATCAGGAAGAACAACTGGCACAAAGATATTCTTCATAATAACCCCCCGCAAATGCGTTAGTATTAAAAACCGAACACGATCAAAACTCTACAATATAGGACACATAAAACATTAACATCCCAAATATAAGACGTTAGAAGCAGAATTAAAGTTTAAGACTTAAGAAGTTAATGTTCCGCAGTTTTATTATTTGATTAACAAACTTTTAATGAAAGCATGTAATTAAGTTTATTCTAACAAATACTGTGCAGTCGTGTTAGACAAAGAAGAACCCTGTAACAACATATAACACCTGATTATCACGTGCATCTATTGTGTGACAGATTTACAACGTGGTGCAAAGTCACCACATGAGTCACCATGAAAGCATTAACTTCATGTTCTTCATCTCAAACCTGAGACTGTG